AGAATATATATGTTTTGTGAGGTCTCTGAGGCTTCCTCTTGGGTGTTGCAAAATAAATATATATAATGAATTTTGACAAAATGAATATACCCGTACTCCGCTTCGCTTAATTAATAATACAGTAAAAGTCCCTTATTCGCGGTTTCACTATTCGCGGATGAGAAAAATTCAACCAATATTCCCATATTTGCGGCTATAAATTTCTTTATTCGCGACTTTTGAGAATGTAAGCAAACAGAACGAAAGTATTGCGAAAATCCCAAATCTAGTTCATTTCAGCTAAGTAATTTCCCCAAATAACAAATTGCCTAAAGGGGGAAAAAGTAAATGCACATTTGCATTCCATTAAATTGATTTTTTTATATATTTGATTTTTTTTTTATTTTGTCACCCAAGAACCTATCTGCTATAGACCCATAAAAATTACCATTCCGTATTCACGATTTCTGAAACATCGTAGTAGTTTGTATATAGCAAACTTAATTTCATTATGTTAAAGGTTTTACTATTTTCCATATTTGTTTCCATCATAACAAAACACGAGTTCGGCTTTGTGGCCATGAGAACCTCTATCTATTGTCTAAGAAATACATCTATGTAATCCAAACTCCATACTAATTTCAAATTCCAAATAAGGAGCAATTTTCATCATAAAATAATAAAAAAATAAACATTTTTTGCATATAAAGCCTTAGTTTTTATTAGAACCCTTGCCTGAGTTGGTATGCAAAAAATAGACCTCCGTGGTCAAAATTCGGTAACGTTAATTATTGTTATGAATGAATTTTCATCAAGAAGTATTATTTTTATTATTATTTTTAACATCGCCAGAGAAATAAATTCTAAGACTAAACTCTTAAAGCACTAGCTTTATCAAAAACTCTACCGCACTTGAGATCCGAACCCACGACCATTGAGTTGCTAGTCGAGATTCCTTGTCTTCGGCCACTTAGGCGGATTCATCAATAAGTATTTTTACGCCTTTTTACTAAATAAAGATTCAATTTCCCTAGGAACGGTTATATGACAAGGCGTGCAACTAATTCTGCTATCCGATTCAAAGTTTTCTTACTAATTTAGAGTGCCGGACAACAACAAGACTAAACGATTTTTGTCGCGAACTTCTGACAATTGCAGTATCTCTTCTTATACTGATCTTTCAAAGTACGGTGTCACATGGGAAATGATCGAAAAAGTAGTCCGATCAGAGCAGTTTTTTTATGGTGTTCGTCCTCCGGTGAAATCGCGTCGGTGCATCAAATTTCATTAAAATACGTAAAAGATTACGCGCTATAGGCTGAACAGAAATACGTGGACAGATATCAGACAAACAGAATCGCCTTCTGAATCGATGAATATAATAAAAGATGGAACTATCTTAAGTCCGACTGGGTGTTACATACGTGTTTTTCTTGCCCGGATGATGATATGATGGAATAGTGGTTTTTTTCCACGGTTGCATAGCACGTATTAACGCAACATAGGGAAAACATTCAATTTCGCGATTTCAGCAGCTTGACTGATATGATAAAATTTTGGTCGTTGAGAACGTGTCACCGCCCAGCAAACCACCCATTAATCACTAAATTTTCACAGCTTCATTTGGTATTTTATGCTAATCCTAATAGGTGCTTGCATTTATTTTGATCAGCGACATATATTTATTGGTGAAAATGTAATACGGTTTTGGTTCCAACGGTTTAAAAGTGATTACTTCGATTTCAATGAACCAGGCTTCGATTTCAAGAACACGGCTTGGAGGACCAATAATGTTGGAAAATATGAATTGCAAGACTTTTTGGACGAAACTCAACACTCAAACAACCTTCGAATAGCTTAGCAGTTGATGAATCAACTATTTTTAGACGGCTACATGCGATGAGAAAGCCCCAAAGAAGGGAAAATGGCTGCACACACAGAAAGTTCCATATCGAACGGCTTCAACATCGCTGTCTTATTGCCTACAAGGCAAGGGCACAGTAGCACATTGTGACTGGCAATGAAAAGTGGATCTACTACGATAATCCCAAGCGTAAAAGGTTATGCGTTACTCGGAGAGAGCCATCCAAATCGATAGCTGAAGGAAACTGTTACGGCAGATGTCTACCGTCGTCAATTGCAAAAAAGATCAGCAATAGCGGTTAATAGACGCAAAGTCATGCTTTTGCATGATAACGTTCGACCGCACGTTGCAAGACTTGTCAAGGATATATTATTCTGCCGCACCCGGCGTCCTCCTCACCATACATATCGTCTTCTGATTACCAGCTATTCAGATTCTTGCAGTATGGCGTGCTTAGCTGGCACGGAAAATTGAAAAAAATTGAGAAAAATGATCAAAATTCATGCAAACACCTAATAAAAATGGATTATCTCCTTACGAATGATTCTGTGCTCAAAATGTTCATTTTCATTGCTGCGATTTTCTCTCAGTGCATTAAATTGATTTTACACGCAACGCTTACGCTACTTTATTCCTTGAGTCAATGTGACATTTAAACGCACCCTCACGCTTTGCTCTTTGCACGTCTTTATCTTACGGTGCACACCACGATTTGTTTGCTTAGACTATTGCGCTGTTAGAAAATCATGTGATTTGTTTATTTATTAAATTAAGTTCAAATCGCTGGATTACGAGGGCAGTCGTTTTTTTTTATCTAATATATAACATCGTTATAAAAGAGCTTTTTTCATTACAACAATCACATATAGTTTGAAAATATAGTTTCTACAATTAATATAGTTCGGTTAACTCTATCTTAGCACTTAAAGGCGATATTGAGGTCGGCTTAGGTTTACCGTTCTCGTTAGCGAGAATTTGCATGCTGTGCCGATGATTGTCGGTAACGAAGGTTAGCTAATTGAGTTAATGGTATTTGATAGCCCTTTTTTTTATACACACACCGATAATGCCACAAATATTCCCTTGTAAGTACAATGAACGACAAGTCCAACTCGATACGAAAGCGATCGAGTATGATCAACCCAAAATGCGATAGTATCATATTAGAAGAACAAACGACCTTGATTTCCCGACCTTGATTTCTAAGTATTTATGTTAGTCACATGTATGCTTAAGAATTCTAATATCCCATCATCACGATGGCTAGTCGGCTTTGCAAGCTTGTGCATTGGCTATGGATTTTGGCAAGTATAGTCTTATAGGACTTTGGGAGGCATCTGTCGAACTATGTGACCTAGCTATGTAAACCAACTATGCACGGTGGCCCGTTTACTTAGAGAGCTTGATCGCACATAGTTCAATAAGTTCGATTAAAGGCAATATTTGTTGAAAATTGGTATAAATTTTCGTACGGAAGTGCTCCTTAGCTAATTTCAGATATTGGCCGTCACGAAGTCTTCAAGTGAACGAAACCGTGCAATACGGTTGAGAATTTTATGTAATTGAACATTACGATAGGTAAATAGTAATTAACATGGAGTTATCCTGTTTGACTCGTGAACAATTCTATATTTAGTTTAAGAATTCTCTTAGGAATAAATATGCATAACCGCAAAGTCGACCTTTTCTTTTCTCTTTAAATTTCGAATAGTAGTGTAAGCTAAATATTTATTAGGCTTGTGCAGTAAAGAAATATATAGAAAAACAAAACAACAAAAAAAAAAAAAAAAAAGAAAGAAAGAAGATAAGAACAGTATCAAATAAAAATTTTCGCATTTGTTTAAAACAAATTTTTCTTTTCTTTGCTCTCGCTGTTAATGATTTTAGTTCTCTTTTGATTATTGTTTTTATATTTAGGAAAAAATTTAAAAACAAATTAAAACATGTATAAAAAATTGTACAATTACTAGCCTAGAAAACAAAAATGAAAAAAAAAAAAAAAAAAAAATAGGAAAAGAAAACGAAAAATAAAACAAATAAGGAATAAAGAACATAAATATAAATCTAAATTAAAATAAAATAAAAGTATAAGCGATAAAAATATGATACAAATTGAAAATAAACATAATTTATAATAAAATCAAATTTAATACAATATCTTTTTCTCGTGTCTTGGGTAAATATTAAGTAATTAAATAAAAACAAAAGCATTTCTTTTTTTTTTTTTTTCACTGCTGCAAAAAAAGAAAATATTTGAAAAATATTTCATTAATTTAATAATAATTTGTCAATAAATATGTTTGTTGTTGTTTGTTGGGTGTTTGTTTTTGTTTTGTTTTGTTTTGTTTTTTTTTTTTTTTTGTTGTTGCTTACGTTGTTACATTTTTAATGGGCATGCATCGAATGGAGGAGAATAACACGTACAAATACATATATATATATATGCAAGTATATATATATATATATATATATATATACAATGATATATACATATATCTGTATTTATGTGCATGTGTGAATGATTTTATTTGAATTAGTATCAAAACTAGAGCAAATGAAAACGATATTTTTCCTTTGCTATATTTTAAATCTCAAAAAATTTTCTTCATCGTTATTTTTATTATTTCCCTTTTTTCGTTTTTTTCGTTTTTTGTCATTTAACTTAAACGCTAAAGTTGCCATTCAGTCAATCAGTCGAAACATTTGGGATGTGTTGTTTCCACTTGTGTTAACGTATCGCTTTATTTAATTCAATACTTCTTTTTTACTTTTTTTCTTTTCTATGCTCTTCTCTTCTTTTCTCTTCGCTTCTCTTCTCTTCTCTTCCCTGTTCTTTCCCTAAATCCGAAAGGATTCTAAGCTCCAGTTTCATTAATTTCTTAAGATCCCGCCCTTGTGTGTGCGAAACATTAAAAAAAAAAAAAAAGAAAAGTAAACAGCAAAGATCTCTAACCGTTAATTAACGATGTCCTTGAATAATGATTCCATATGTTTGTTGCAAACTTTACATAAAAATATTTAATACAATTTTTTGTTTGTTTTTTATCATTTTTCTTTATAAAGCTTTTTTTTTTTTTGTTTTTCTTTTTCTTTTAAAGACTTTTTGCTACCTTTTCTAACGTGGTACCGTATGTTGTGTTTCGTTTAAGGATAGAGAAATTATTGTTTTGTTGTAATGTTTTGTTGTTTGTTTGTTAGTGTTTTACTACAGATGTTTGCTCAGCCTCAGGTTTCGCTTATTTTCTGGCAAAGGGAATTCAGCTGCTGAGGCCGGACGTTGTTTGATGCAATTTATATTGTTGATCATGCTGCTGATGTAGACGACGATTATGGCGACGTGTGCGTTTACATTGCATTGTGCAACATTCATCGATTATGGGCTCGTTGGCGGTTGAAGGCTTCTCAAATAGTTTCTTTTTCGATGATACTCGGGTTTGTTGGCAAACGGCTCGTGTACACCTTTTACGATCGCAACTCACTTTTGAATCCTAGAAATTCGAAAAACATTGTTAAAATAAAATTTACTATATATCATACTAAATATGATACTATTCTTACCTTGCATCGACATGTTATGCATTTTTGTTCACCATGCGATGCTAATATCGGATGCCATTCTTGGCCATTTTCGTATACTTTATTAACCGCTTTGCAGCCACCTTGACTTAAAATGTCTTCATTGCTTCTCATTGTTGATTTAGATAAGCCCTGATCTTGTAACACATTTGGATTGGCTGGGCTCGTTTTAACAGTACTGCGACTACTTAGCTTGCCTTCAGGGCACTTCTTGCAACAGGCCTTCTTTTCCGGCCGGTACGCGTCTCTTTCTTTGCAATTCAAAGGCGGACAGAGCATGCGTGGACACCTAACCTGTAAAGTCACAGCGTCGCATGTACAAGTCGTGCAAGTATCGAAACCATTAGGCGGCAGAAACGGATGCCAAGTTGCCCCAGCTAAGAAGAATTCATCGCCTAAATAGCAGCCTTTTTTGTTGTTATTCTGTTCATTCGGAATGTTTACCTCAGCTGCTCCTAAATTTTGTGGTACACAGCTCGGGCAGCATTCGCCTTCACGTTGCACCATTTCTTCAGATATTTTGCATTGTACAATAGGACATTTGATCGACTCGCATGAGGCATGACCCCGTCGACAGGCACACATTTGGCAAGAATTTTCAGTGCTACGCCATTGTTCAGATTCATCGTGAAAACGTCCTGAGTGATAACATTTTGTTACCGCCGAAGCTAATGAATCTTCATTGTGATCACCCAGTACATTTTGTACGTTGTTATCGGTATGCAGTGGACGGCAATGATCTGGGACTCTAGTAGATTTCAGTTTACCTCGTAACAAAAGTTTCTTGTTATGTTTAGCGTAGATTTCTAAGTAGCAAACACTGGTTTCCAATTTCACCAACTCATTCGCATCCATACCTAAAACAAATCCTTCCATGCTGGAGCCTGAAAACTCTTCCAAAAAGCTACGCGTTATTGGCGCTCCAATGGCTTCGATGGGTTTCTCTTCCAAGTAAATCTCTAAATCTGGATTTTGCATTTGGAAACCACTTAATGTTATCTCGTAGTGGAGATTACACTCGTTGTCAACGGATAACCATGCCATACCCATAGCATGTGTAGGAACAGCTAGGGAATTTTCAGATCGCTTCAACAAAATAGGTTCAGCTGAGTCACGAGCATCAGCTACTGGCTTAGGTAATAGACGTCCCCTTATCAGGCTCGGTTCATGCTGCAAGCCGATATTAACGCCAAGCTCTCCGGCATACAATAACTCAACAACTCTCGGTCCCAATTTATCAATGGTGCCAATCGCTTGATTGAAATTGAAGCTAGCCGTCATATCTTCCAGTACAGTTTTACGTTTCCCTAGATCCTCAATTAGGCTAATGTCGGGATGATCCTTGGCATTAACTTGATCGGTTTCGATATTATATACTAAGGAGCCATCGGTATTCAGGAATACCCAAGCTAAACCAATACTTTTTGTATGCGCTTCCACGTTATGTGGTGACAAAAGAGTTTGAAAAATTTCACAAGTAGTTCGGGTAACAACGTGACCTTGTATTTTCAAATACGGATATTTTTTTGATTCGACCGTCAACAATAGTTTGCCGCGAGACATTAATCGCAAATTTTGTATGGTGATGGGGGAAGAAATCTCTAAAATGTTAACTTCGGATGACGGTTTACGTATTTTTTGAACTTCATCTAATATAATCTCTTTACGATCTGGCAGCTCAATGCGTATATTAACTGCGGCGTCTGCGTTCTCATCATGACCGAAAACGCCATTAAAAACTAAAGTTAAGTGCACTGAAGAAGCCGCTCCACTGGTGGTTGAAATAATTGCAGTACCACCGGAACCAAACATTTGATCAGATCTGACATTCGTTGCCGGCTCCAGCAGCGAACTAAACAATTCCGATTGCAATGCGGTATATTTGGCAATTCTTCCAGCCAATTCGGTTTGATATTTACTTTCACTCCAGATAAGAACCACATGTAAGCGTTCTTCTCTTAAAAGACGCTTATAATCGCGAGGCACTCGGCGCCATACACCGCACGTTTTACCAGTAATATTCTGGTACAATGACTGGGGCCCAGTAGGTAATTGTAATTGATGTTCCTCCAGTATGGTACCGTTTTCGTCAACAAATTGTAGAGTTCTAGGACGCACCATCTTGGAAGATGTATAAAATGAATAATACAGATTTTTTTTATGAAATAAAAACCGTCCTGTAGCAACCATGCTGGGAGCGTTATGTGTCGAATACACGGAACGCATATCTTCGCCCTTTAGAAAGAAAGAAGTGCGGCCGGTGAGAAGTGCAGCGAAATCTAAGATAATATAATTTAAGGAGTCAAATAAAAAATTTTTCTCGAAAGAAGAAGAAAAGGAATAAGAAAAATAGTATGAGAGGTACATACGTTTCATATTGCGCTCTTCGTCTTCGATAAAACTGGCCGGGACATCTAAGGCGAATTCGGTATCTAAAATGAAATATGAAAAATGAAAGAAAATTAGTTGTGTTTGTTAATAGTTGCTAGTTTACTAATTGTTGTTGTTGTACAAAAATTAGATAACAACATCAATTATATATATATATATGTTTGAAACTTTTAAAGGTTTTCGCTTGAACTTATGAAAAATACCTGAAAGTGTGAGGTAAAAATTATGGAAAATTCATCAATTAAAATAAATGAAAATGCAAAAAAAAAGAGAAAAAAAATACCATGAAAAACTCCCTTAAGGTTTATATAGAAATCCCTGCTGTCTGGTAAGTTGATAAACAATCATTTGTCGCCTGACATTTTGCACTATAATGAACTGCAGAAATTCCTCCTAAGTAAGCTAAAAGAAACAACTGCCAAATGGGGATAAGACGGCAGCTAAACACCACCACCACCACGATTGTATCAACATAGTACTCCACATCGCACAACTTGTGTGGCATGTAAGTGTACGACAAATGAAAGATTGCATTTGTCTGGTTTTTGTTTTCTTTTTCTTTTCTTTTTTTTTTTTTTTTTGCTTTGCACTTAAACATCACCTCCTGGGGGCTGTTAAAATGTATGTGTATTAAATACTCTTTTTAGAAAAAAGAAACTAATCTTGTTTTTTTTTTTCCGCTTAGCATTAACGATGAACTTTGTAAATATGTAGAAGTTGAACGAATTTAAATTAATTTTTTTTATAACCATCACGGACGGTTGGGTATGTGCTAGCATTGGAATAAGGTTTGTAACACATCAAGGAGCCTATGTATACACATATATATAATGAAAATCGGTTCAATTCCCTCTCAGTATTCCTTCAACTTCTATGCAATCGTATCTATTAGTGCATCCATTTATCCGCCACTATCCACTTATTCGTTTTCCCACCAATCCATCCGTTTGCTTTTACGGCCATTCGATTTAGTGTCTCTTTTTTCTTCTATTCTTATTTTAAATTGTAAAAATTGTGATATAAAGACGAAAATAGTACAGGCGGATACATGCGATTAAATCTTCAAAAGTCAGAATTGAAAATAGGCGTAATGCGGCAATATGCATACAGTGTACCTGCTCGCTACAAACGATTAAAATAAAATTTAGACAAAAAACGCCAAAAATTTTCAAAAGTTTTCATCGGGCAATTGAAAGTTACGGAAACACTTCAGCATTCTGCGATCGAACCATCTGCATTTAAGAAAAAACATGCAGCGATATTTATATGTCCACTTAAGATGGAGGATATTCAAAATTCGACTTGAGAGGAAAGCGGGTGAATACCTTTCTTACTTGTTGCTGCTCCTTTCGAAAATGAAAAACTCATTTGCCATGTTTGAGCATAAAAAATACTAACGCAATTCAACATGCATGTATACATAACATTGACCAAATAGGGTTACATCGCCGGCCAGCCAGCAAGTCGTAAGTTGTTTGCGCTGTTAGTTAACTAACTAATGTTCCCGAGCATTCACATATATATATATATATATATATATATATATTGGATTTTAGATTATTATCTCTCGTTATGCCTTTGCTATTATTGAAAGGATTACATCGTTTGTAAAATGTGTGCGACAACAAATCAGAGACTGTATATTAAGGCGAGCAAAAATTTGCTTATTTTTTTAACTTTTGATCATTCTTATCTTATTTCATGCTTCTCTGCTTAAATCTATTATCGTTAGTATTATGATTAAGCCAACGAAATTAATTCATCTATTAAAGTAAGAAAACTGGGAAAAAAGTAGAAAAGAAAGTCCAGCGATTTTGCTAAAGTTATGTCTTTTTTTTTTTGATTATGTTACATATACATATATTTTTATGTATATGGTACACTTGTCGTACTTAATGTACACTATTAACTTTGTGCGAAAGTATGTGACACGGAGAAGAGCTTAAAATAGCCCAACTGTTTATTATATCGATTGATTCAGAATCATTTTATGAATCGATTTAAGCATGTCTGTCCGTTTGTCCGTCTGATATCTGTCCTTGTATTTCTGTTCAGCCTACAGGTCGCAAGTTTTAAGATATTTTGATCAAGTTTATTACGCTGATGTGTTTTCGCTCAAGAACAAACGACATAAAAATAGTTCAGATCGGATCACTTTTTCGGACCACTTTCCATATAACGGACTTTCCAAAATAGGGCAAAAAATGCAATTAAGTGGCTAAGTAATAGTATTTCGGCATTCTAAATTCGTAGGAAAATTTTGGACCCGCTGAGGCAATTTTTTGCAAATATCTCTCTCATATAACGAAAACTAAAGATCATGTGCCAAGATGGTCCAATTTTGCAATGTTTTATGATGAAAATCAAATCATAATCAGTGATTCAGGATAAAAATATTAACTATATCGTATTTGGATCATTTCCGTCTATTTTTTTGGATCCTACCCTATATATAAATTTTCAAGAATATCGATCTTTTGTAGGGCAGAAAAGCCAAAATTTAAATATGCTATAATGAAACTTAATCCATAAAAGTAAAAAAAAATCTATATGATATCTATATAAGTTTAAAATTAATAATCAAAGTAAAATTCTACGAACGGAAAAGCCTTTGAAATTTTCTTCTACTATTTGAAATTTTGATGACTTTTTTCTAAAAATTTGAAAAAAAACGTTGAAAATGATTTTTTAAAAAACAAATGTCCCATCTCTTGCATACTTCTCGTGAATGGAGTTTAGTAACGCTGAAGGAAAAGATTTGTGTATCTTTTTCTCTTTACGAGACACATTTTACCAAAGATTGTGCTTTTTTGCATACAAACAACTCAGTGAAAAATTCAAATTCGAACTCAAATTCGAATTCAAATTCGAATTTCAATTTTTGTTTTTTTTTTTAAATACTTTCAAACAGAAATCACTAACCGAATGTATTGTTAGTGTGTTCAATGCAAACTGCATACTTTTTTTTAGAGGGTCTCTGAAAACCACACCGTATTGGAAGAATTTTCAAAATTTTCAAATGAATATCTTATAAAACATTGATTGATCTTTTGTAGATTCTAAAAATTTGAATGAAATTATCCTTTAATTATATTAAAGACGATATTGGAGAAGCTATGCTTTCATTTTAGCTTTTATAGCTTTTATTATCGACAGACTATCTAGTACAAGGACAGGAAAACTAAAGGATTAGCAAGCCTGTATCGATTTATTATTTATTTTTTTTCACCTTACTTCAGATGCAGCAAAGTATTGACCTTAATTGGGCCTTTATTGGATTGTGATTCGACCTATTTTGGCACAGCTGTAGCCTGTCAGCCTTGAAAATGACTTCTTGCAGCAGACTTGCGTGCGATTTGGTATATCAAACGATGTTAAATAAGACTTATCGATTTATTCGTTTGAAGGATTGAGTTTGTTTCTTGCAATTGAAGAATTAAAAAATTACTACGCTTCGCTGACATTTTTTGACGGTATTTCTGCTAAATCTCACTTTCCTATCTCAATATTGGAGATGCTGAGAGTTCATGTGAATGAATAAACTTAAGATAGTTAAGCTAATTTGTAGCTTGTCTTAAGATCAACCGTGACGAGACGTAGTTGATTTAAGTAATTTGAAAATAAAGAAAGCTATTAGCCTATACGAGAAATAAATTTATTGATTTCGGCAAACGCATTGCTTATTCAGCATGCAGTTCATGTGAAGTGTTTCTTAATTCATTTATTGTTCATACGTTCTCCATCACCTGTGTAGGTGATACCCGTCTGAAAGGTATGTAATAAAATAAATTTTACTGTAAATAAAAAAAAATACATGTATTTTTTAGGATGAGTACTGTACTTATTATTCTTTTTTCATGCTCCATTATGATCTCGTATAGAAAATTGAAGAAATGAAAAAAAAAGAAAAAATTGCTGGGCTGGGCGACGTCGCAATTGCTAATCAAATGAATAGGATTTTGAAAAATCGTACAGATATGCGTTCTCTGCGGCTCGGGGTCGTCAAGAATTGATCTTCAAGAAAGCTTAAGAGACTCGACCGATTGGACAAACAAGAACTCTTTCTTATTAGTTTTTTTCATTTTTGCGTTTTTACATACATATGCAAAAAGTGTTGAAAAAGGACAACAACAAATTTATTGTAAACATACATAACAAACGTCAACGTTGATTACATCAACATCGACATTAGTATAGCTATTATGGCTACTATTGAGCTATTGGTAAACTCTATAATTTCTGCTAAATTCCACAAAAGCTATCTATAGGTACGCGTTTAACTGGTGAAGTAAAGACTAAGGAGAGGGAATGAAAAAAAAAAAGAACAAATTTTCACTTTTTATACTCTAAAGCTTTTACTTTGACTGATTGACTGTTTGGCTAGTTGGCTGGCTGTTTAGCTAGTGAGCTGGTTAACTGCATGGCTGGCTAACTAGATTGGTAAAAACTCAAATTAACATGCAGTGGATATGTTGCATGGTTTAAAGATGATTTTTATTCTTTATCATCAATATAATAACAATAACGATGGCGATGATAATGCTGGTAATGATGATGATGATGATGATGATGATGATGATGATGGCGAAGATGATGTGGCAAACGAGGTAATGTCAGCCGCAGTACTATTTTTCTTGAATTCATATTATATTATAAAATAAAATAACATGAACTTGTTTCCATAATAGTTTATACAAGTAACCACAATAATAGTAAAACAAGTTAACTACTGCCTGTTTGAATGACTGACTGACTGACTGCGTGCCTGCCTGCCTGCCTGTGGTGTATGAGCACTACCAGCAAAGAAGTAGAAGAAGAGGAAAAAAAGAAGACTAAAAGGTAACAAAACACCAATAGCAACTGCAAACACTCATGAGCGAGCACACACACGCATAATTGCCACACAATCCACCAAATTTGGTTAAAAATATTCTACAGCTCCAACTGCTAACCTCATAAGCTTTACAAGGGAAATAAAAAAAAAGTATCATTACTCAAGTTTTGTTAAACATTCAGCTTTGAAAATAATAAAAGAAAAATG